GTACTGGATGCTCAGCCCCTAATGTGCAATGTAAAATGTCCTCCCACGAGAGATGAAAGGGCAGCCTCAGTGTGCAGTACAGGGGTCTGCCTCTGGGCATAAGTCTGGGTGCTGAGACTGTTGTGCCCCGTGATAGTGTCTGGATTGTGAAGCACACTAATTCCCATGCCCTTTTGTTTCCACAGCCTCAGAGAGATCTGTGTGTCCGCCCCTAGATGAAGCACCCCCTTTCTCGGAGCCCTTCAATCCGTACCTGTGGAACAGCCTGGGTGGCTCTGAGCTGAGGCATCCTGTGCAAAGCTACAGGCCCTGCCCAACGCTGGAGCGACCCTCAGAGCCGGGGCTCTTGTGCGACCGAGGCTCTGAGCCTGCCCTGTATGGTGCTGAGTGTAGCTCTTCCCTTGGACTGTATGGAGACTTCAGCTCCCCGGGCACGGGGCTGTTTGAGCGCTCGCCAGCAGCAGCTCCTGGACTCTACGCCGAAACACAGCCTGGGCTGCAGCAGGAGAAGGGGCCGGGTGACGTCAAAGTGGAGTCAGACCTCTTGTGCCGCCAACTGCTCATCAGCACTGGCTCGTACAAGTGTGTCAAGTGCAGCAAAGTAGGGGTCCCTTTCTCCCACACTGGTTATGACTCTTCCCCAGACCCTTCTCCCTGGTGAACTTAACCCCGTGTACTCTCTTCCCTCAGGTCTTCTCCACACCGCACGGCCTTGAGGTGCACATGGGCCGCTCACACAAGGGCACGAGGCCGTTTGCCTGTGACATGTGTGGCAAGACCTTCGGCCATGCAGTCAGCCTGGAGCAGCACAAGGCCGTGCACTTGCAGGTGAGAGCAGGGCAGGCTGCCAGGATGAAGGTCTGGGAGCCAGGGCCAGCTGCTTTATTCAGCTGGCTCTGGGGAGGGCAGGAAGGCAATTGCAGGGCAAGAGTTGGGGATCTAAACTGAGGATGGGAAGAGAACATGATAGGGCTGCAGTTGGGCAGTTGTGGGTGAAGAATATGGTGACAAGCAGAGGAAAAGGTGGGCAGCTAGTGAGCAAAGGAGCTAATCACCAAATTAAAGAACACAGGCTTTGTTTCCATTCCTCAGACCTTGCATGCATCTGTATTTAAGCAATGGGCACTTTCGGCGCTCCAGAGGTAACAGATAATAAATTTTCCCTCTCAGAGCTGGAAATTGTAATGCAGATGTGGACTTTTCTTTAACAGCTAAAGCAACTGATTGTGCTTTCTTTGGATGCAGTTTTCCTCATTCTTTCTCTTCCCTCTCCCAAAGAAGTGAGTCTTCTCTTGTTTGTAGTCACTGTGTCTGTGAAGGGAACAGATGAATGACCAGTCAGGTATAGAGCACAGACTTCGCCCGTCTCAACACACTGAGTCACACACCAAAAGAATACGGTAGTTAATTTTGGTAGGAGGACTTGTAACATTTTCCACCTGCTGATATGTGCCATATTTCCCCTTCCCCACCCACTAGACCTGGCAAATCTTCCTTCTTCGGACTGGCTTTTGCTGGATAGAGTTACAGCAATGTTTTTTTGCTAACTGTTTTATTTATAATTTCATGAGTGTGTAACCAGCAGAGCACACAATGAGGGGAGATGTCTCATTGTCTCATTAAACAATGGTGAAAAGAGCACGCTGCATTCTGTGTCTGTGGAGGGGACAGCATTTCAG